GCCAACAAACTAGTATAACCAAGTGTTATTCGTTTATTGTTTTATAGATATAAGAAGATGTGGTATGAGTGCCAATGAGACAACTCTCTATCCAAGTCAAAATTTTAAAAGTAAACCATTATATGTCAAAGTACGGTCTTCAACACAGAGCCTTGGCTCACACCGAACAGCAAGCTATAAAGGGCCCCAAAAATCACTAGCGTAAAACCATTCAAACGGGAAAACCAACGGTCCAATCTATATAAAAAACGAGAAACGAGAAACACTTATGAACCACATCAACAAACGACAACTACTGAACATCAGATTCCTGACTTAGGACAGGTGCAAACATAGTTGTTCTTGTGTTGTGCTGTTACACCACTGTCCCAGATTAGGGGGAGGGTTGGCGCCTTCAAACTATTTTAATCCCGCCACATTCTGTATGTGCTTTTCCCAAATCAGGAGCCTGTTATTCAGTGGTTGTCGTTTGTTGCTGTATTTTATATTTGTTTTTCGAACATTGTTTTGTACATAAATCAGGCAGTTAGCTTTCTCGTTTGAATTATTTTACGTTTGGCATTTCGAGGCCTTTTATAGCTGACTATGCGGTTTGGGTTTTGCTTATTATTAAAGGCCGTACGGTGACCTATAGTTGTTAACTTCTATGTCATTTGGTCTCTGGTGGAGAGTTGTCTCATTGGCAATCTTACCACATCTTCTTATTTTTATATTAAACCTTTTGTGCATTTATTGATGATTTTGGAATGGACTCTCTGACTAGGCAAAGAAGACGCACCAGTTAACAAACATGATGAAAAAATGAACAAAAACAGTATTTCACTACAAACTATTTATTTTCAAAATTGCCACCTTAGGCCAACCGAACATAAATGAAATATCACAAATTATTTTTGTATATGTTGTATAACAATTGTAAAAAGCCTGATATAATAATAAGAAATGGTAATCTAAAATGATTTATATACGATATCAATAGAAAATAAACTTACAACATTTCCAAAAATATACATAAAAAGCTACAATAAAAGACAAAGCAAACAGTTTAATATCAATGTATATAGGTAATATCAGTGGTTTATGAGAGCCGAAAATCCCTAACGTATAAAGCCTCTATGCCCTAGATGATAAGTAAAATATGTGTACTTTAGTGATTCTAATTTATTTTATATGTTTCGAATTCCAGACAATATTAACCAATTAATTAGTTAAGTACCTGTCTTTGTAAGAATCATGCAGGTTCATGTTGATGGGTGATTCATGACCCCTCTTCAAATGTCTTTATATTTTGTTTATGAAGAAGGTATAGTATGAAAATAAGTTTCATCTATTATTTTTTTTTTTAACCTTGGTTACCATGGAAACCATCCTTACAAAATTTTGCCTAAATACGTACAAAAGTAGCCTTTGAAAATTGAAATAAAAAGAAAGACGTGTGTTTTTATTTCTTTAGAAAAATAATTTTAGTCAAAAATTGTCAATTTTCACCAAAATTCAGATTTCCAAACAGATGAATAATCAAACATTTTGAACTTTAAAAGCTAAAATATTCCAATTATATGTGCAATTCTGACACACATTTGTTAATTTTAAACGAGAATATATGATAAATGAAGATATACTTGTACAAAAAGAAAACTCATCACATTGGGTCATAATGGTGCACCCCCTCCCCCCCCCTTTTTTTGGGAAAAATCACTTTTTTCAAAATTGTAAAATTTGTTGAAAAAAAATGTGGTATCCTCTTGTGTTTACTTGTGAACTAAGCATTTTAAGAATTTAAGTATAACATAACATAACTTCTATAGTTGAGGGTAGTATATGTACCCCCGCCCCTCAATCTTATATGTACGATTTCTCAGAAGTTTGGAAATAAATTAATACGCATAATTCCGTTGTCGTGCCTGGGACTGATGGTTTCAGTGAAAAAGAATAATGTTGAATTCAAAAACATTTAAGTCAACGTATAAAAATAAGAGGAATTGTTGTAATTGCCAATGAGACAAATCTCCACAAGAGACCAATTGACATAGAAATGAACAACCACAGGTCACCGTACAGCCTTCAACAATGAACATAACATGATTATCTGTAAAACAATTATAATTGAACAATTCAAAAACAAAATGGCTAAGGATACTTTCTCTTTCAAAATAGCTATAAAGAAGATACAGTTACAATTTAATGCAACTCATTGTTGGTTTGAAACAGATTATTGCTGCTTTAAAAACTTTAACCCTAGACTAAGATAAATTATGCTAAACAAGAATGCACAACCTGAAATGTTTGGTTGGTTTAACATTAACGTAACATTATCAATGTTCTGAGAACATGAGGTCAAGGTAAGATATACCATGACAGACAGACGGAAGAGAGAGAACGGAAATGAAAATTTCAGGACTTTTTTTCCATTTTTGACAGTACAAGTTACACCCATAAATTCAAACTAGATCTGTTTTTTTTTATGGAAAAAGCATTGTGTATAAGTTTCAAAACATTTAGTTGTGACTAACTTAAGTTAGAACGGACGTACTTACGGACAAGGGTACAACTTAATGCCCCCTTTGCTACAATGGGGGCATACAAATTCTACATGTTCTATCTGAGGAAATATATATCAACGATCTACCTTTAACTGTGCAAGAATTTGTCAATGTTTGCATGGTATATGATGGATAAGGACAACCTGTCTATCAATTTTGTTTTTAAATAACCTAACTGAATAATAATTTGTATAAGGCAGAGTTATGGCATCTTTATAGTTTTCAAAACATATTTTCCTTGTGGGTCTTGAGGAAAATTTGCTTGTCCTAACTATTATATACTGTTTTGATACTCAAAACCTTAGAACCATCATGTGCAATGATCATTCATGGAATTTTGCTCAATTTTATCAATTGTTATATTTACACATTTGTATGCCTCCGCCGTCTGAGGAGGAGGGGGCATTAAGGTTTACCCTTGTCCATCCGTCAGTACGTCCCAAAGTTGGTTTCTGTTCTCTAACTTTAGTTTGCCTCAACCAAATATTATAAAACTTAATCACATTGCTTATTACCACAAAACACATACCAAGTATGAATTTTGGTGGTGTCATTTTAACCGTTCAAGAGTTATGCCCCTTTACAAATATAAATATTGATAAATTTTTCGTTTCCGTTCTCTCACTTTAGTTTGTCAACACCAAAAGTTATTAAAAAAATATACACAATGCTTAAAACCAACAAATACAAATCAAGTTTGAATTATGGTGGTGTCAACTTTACTGTTCTAGAGCCATGCCTCTTTACAAAGGGAAAAGGCTGCTTCAAATGTTTCGTTTCGTTTTTCTTTCTTTAGTTTGCCTCAACCAAATGTTATGAAACTTTTACACAATACTTATGACCACAAAACTTAGATAAAGTATAAATTTTATGATATGCAAGCCGGAGCATCATCCGTGTCTAATGGACACATTCCGCGTTTATTTCAAGCTCTTTTGCATAAGTTAGATTCATTATATGTTAGAATAGAAAGAACGGTTCTGTATTTCTTTTTCAATATTAATTTTAACACAATTAATCGACATAGTGACAAATTAAGTGTTTGCATAAAGGTTTCGATACATGTCAATTCACATGGGAGGTAAATAGTAGCAGCCATTATGTGAACATAATCTGACACTGCGCAATAGTATACTAGTCAACAATAGAAATGATACAGGCCCGAGACCACAATTACTTCCTCTATTAGTTCTTTATAACGTTTTGTCACATTAAAAAAACCTACCTGTATTTTTTGTCAGATCTTTTGTGTGTGTAATGTACAGTACAAGTCCAAAAATATATCCAAGTTTCAGAAAAATTGCTGGTTTACATTTTACAAATTTAGCCAATACACATCCATACCCCTATGGGCAAGTCAAGAGATGTTCCGAAAACTGTAAATATTACCTTTTTGCACCTGGCCTAATCACTCTTTCCATATCAAAATCAGTTAAAATAAAACATCTAAAAAATTATTTCAGCTCTCTTCTTTCATTTCCACCTTATAAAAACTAAGAAATGAATGAGAAAAGGAAAGAAAAAAAATAAAGAAAAAATACACTATAATTAAAGGAACGAAAAGTGGGGTCATTAATTGTGGTCTTGGGCCTACAAGGCAATGTATTTTCCATGTATAATGAAATTGGATACACTGTACCAAGCTTAATAACTGTCCAATTGATCTAATTTTTACAGAGTGTTATTTTCTTATAAAAACCATTGATTTAAGACAACAAAAAACCGATTTTTTTTTTTTTTTATTTTTGTTATTTCATTTATAGTATTTTTTGCCAAAAAAATAAAAATCGATATTAGAACTTAAAATTTAAAATTTAAACATGGTCTGCTTAAAATTTTGATTGCTGTCTGTCCATGTGTCCATCTGGCCGTCCGTGTGTCTGTCTGTCCGGTCCTTGCAGCGCTCTCACATGAACACATCTGTCAGATTTTTACGAAACTAATACTTTAGGTTAATATAAGCAACATCTCAAACAAATCATATATTGGTGGCCTTGTTAGCGCTCCCACAGGTACAATTTTTTATAAAACTTATAAACTAGGTTAATATCAACAATATCTCGTATAAGTTCTATAATGATGGACAATGGACTTTTTTTTAAAATAGTTATGACCCTTAAAAATATTATATTTATGGAAAGTGGCCTCGTTAGCGCTCTCGAAGGAACAATTTTTAGCTCACCGTTCCGAGGGAACGTTGAGCTTTTGCCATCACTTGGCGTTCGTCGTCGTCCGTCTGGTGTAAACTATTTCAAATATCTTCTCCTCTGAAACTACTGAACCAATTCCTACCAAACTTTAGCTGAATGATCCTTAGGGTATCTAGAATAAATTTTGTGTTTCATTTTCTGTTTCGTTTCAAAACATGGACGTTATGACTAAAAATAGAACATAGGGTTAAAATGCAGTTTTTGGCTTAGATCTCAAAAAGCCAAAGCATTTATAGCAAATCTGATATGAAGTAAAATTGTTTATTAGGTCAAGTTCTATCAGCCATGAAATTTTCAGATGAATCTAATAACCCATTGTTGGGTTGCTGCCACTAAATTGGTAATTTTAAGGAAATTTTTTTAATTTTTAGTTATTACCTTTAATATTATTAATGATAAAGATAACTGTATACAGCAAAAAATGTTCAGCAAAGTAAGATCTACAAAAAAGTTAATATGACCAAAATTGTCAATCGACCCCTTAAGGAGTTACTGCCCTTTAAAGACAATTTTTCTGAATTTGTTCATCTAGTTTGCTTGCTTTAAAATTGCTGAATCAATTTCAGCAAAACTTAGGCTGAATGAGTTTCAGAATATCTAGTATAAATTTTGTATTTTATTTCCTTGTACGTCAAGAAACATAGTCACTATGTGGAAAGATTTTAAGCAAAAAATAACAGGTGAGCGATTTTGGCTGTTGAGAGCCTCTTGTTTTATTTTTCATTGTCAGTATATTTCTGATAGAACGGACGTAGTTTTTTAGGTCACCGTTCCAAAGGAACTGTGAGTTTTTGTCATCACTTGACGTACGTCGTCGTCCGTCCGGTTTTAAAACTATTTCAAACATCTCCTCTGAAACCACTGAACCAATTCCAGCCAAACTTAGACTGAATGATTCTTAGGATATTTAGAATAAAGTTTGTGTTTCAGTTTCTATTATGTAAAAAAAAACATGGCCACCATGGCTAAAAATAGAACATAGGGGTAAAATGCAGTTTTTGGCTTTTATCTCAAACACTAAAGCTTTTAGAGCAAATCTGATGTAGGTAAAAATGTTCATTGGGTCAAGTTCTATCAGCCCTAAAATTGTCAGATGAATCTAACAATCCATTGTTGGGTTGCTGGCACTAAATTAGTAATTATAAGGAAATTTTGCAGTTTTTGGTTATTATCTTGAATATTAATAATGACAAAGATAAACTGTAAACATCAAAAAAGTGTATCAAAGTAAGATCTACAAATAAGTTTATATGACTAAAATTATCAATTGACCCCTTAAGGAGTAATTGCCCTTTAAAGAAATTTCCTTGTAATTCAAGAAACATAGCCACTATGGCTAAAAAAAAACATAGCGACTATGGCTAAAATGGAACATAGAGGTAAAATGCATTTTTTTGCTTTTGAAGAAAATATGACAGATACAAAGAACATTTAAATGGAATTTTTAAGCCACTCATTGATATATATTGAAAAGCAAGAATAATCACTGATGAAAGATTTAACCAAACCATTACAGGTGATCGATTCAGGCTCTTGAGAGCCTCTTGTTTAGAGTTAAAATTTAAAGACAGTCTTAGAGTAAGTTTTTTTTACATAGATTGAAATGAAACTTGGACAGAGGCTAATTTTCAAGACCACGAAATGACATGTAAAGATTTTTTTTTTAAATTTCAATTTGCACAAAACAAGTGTATTTATGGACGCAGCACTCCTTCATTCAGTCATCAGCCTTTCGGCTGTTTTCTGTAGTTTGGTTGGGTTGTTACATGTATCTCTTTGACACATTCCACATTCCTGAAAAGTCTAATATCTAAAAATGGGGAAGGGGTACTATCATTGCCTTAACCCTTTGAAGAAATTTTATGCTTCAATGCTCAAAATGTTCACAATTAAATACCGTATTTTAAATTTTTAATAAATTTTATAATTTTGAAAAAAAATGATTTTTTTTTCCAAAAAAAAGGGGGGGTGCACCATACCCAGAGTGATGAGTTTTCGTTTTGTACAAGTATGTCTTCATTTATCATATACTCTCGTTTAAAATAAACAAGCGTGTGTCAGAATTGCACATAAAAATGGAATATTTTAGCTTTTTTAGTTCAAAATCTTTGAGTATTCATCTGTTTGGCAATCTGAATTTTGGTGAAAATTGACAATTTTTGATTAAAATTATGTTTTAAAGAAAAAAAACACACGACTTTCTTTTTATTTTATAAATATGTAGAATGTTGTCTTTCAAAATTTGTCAATGACATGTCATGGTATTGTTGGTCTTGGGAGATAAACAGAATTAAAATTTCAGAGTTTTTGAAATTTTTCATTTTCGAATTTTAACACATTTTTAAATGGTTGCGATGGAAACAAACTAATTAGTAAATTCAAAATTTTAACGTTTTTGAAAAGTTTGGGGTTTTGTTTATTAACAATGTAAAAACCATAATTGTTTTTATTGATTAACTTAATTTCCATAGGACTTTAAATTCCCTTATTTTAAATTTTCAAAAGGGTCTTTTTTCACATATTCAGGCAAAATATTGATTTGATGATTACCATGGCAACGGGCATTATACAGGGAAAATAAAGACAGAATTTTACTTATTTACCAAAGTTCTTATGATATAAGGCAAAACAAATTACTTCTGTGACATGTCATGAATCACCCTCTGCATGATTTTTATAAAGACAGGTACTTAAGTATTTAAAGCCAACTTAACAAAATTCCTACACTCACTTAACGAAATCCGAAGCAATGAAAAAGTGCATGCTTGTATCACATAGTCAGATATATATAGATTAGTCGACTGATTTATGAAACGTTGAAAGGAGTCTAGTCGAATAATTACATATTAATACTCCTTAAGAAATCTAAATGTTATTCATAAATTAGTTTATATAACGCTACAGTATGTTGAATAGCCGACAAATTCTAAACAAGTTCACGCTCACTTAGAACGATGAGAAGATAGAACTGTAGCAAACGCCTTCGCCTTTAAGTCTTCCAATGCCCTTTTCTTCTCGTTCCGTGAGGAAAAGTTTGTTGTGGAATAACTAGTAGCATGTGCCAAGAGATCGTTCAGGCTACACTGCTTCTGTGTGGTATTTGGTCTAACAAATGGAATATCTGTTTCCTCCTCAATTACCAAATATAACGTATCCATAATAGCGTGTGTGAGTTTAGAATCGTTGCTGGAGGCCTCTCTCTGTAAATCTGTCATCATGCTAATTATTTTGTCGGCTGGTTTTTTATTAGACGGATCGTTTCTTCGTTTCTTCATTTCTTCCATTTCTTTCATAGAAATCTCTTCTTCTTGTTTTGAGCTTTCGTTTTCTTTATTCATATCGAAATACACTTGGAGAGCTGCTTCTGGATCTGCAATAGTTTCTTTGATCTTCTCTCTGATTTCATTGGCTTCTGTCTCAGTTAAATGAGCAATTAAATTGCTCTCTAGGAAATAGTGCTTGAGATATCTTCTGTCTAAACACTCTATCATGTAGGCCAATACACTTTCAAGGGCTAACAATATTGTGGAATGACGATCAAACAGAGCAGGATCGATTTGTCCACACTGGTGGTAAAAGGCAGTTTTCCAGTGAAAAGTGGTAAGTAATGAAGAATAATATTTAAGGTAACCTTTCTGGAGGGCTTTAAGAAGTAGGACACATAGTCTCTGATCAGAACTAAGGTCAGAAGCTAGGATAAGTTCCGCCTGATTGAAGCCCAGACAAAAATCGATATCGGCAGAAGGTTTAACAATTGCGGGCTTGGCTACAACGTACACCTCCGATTGACAGATTTTTTCAACGATTTCTGAACTCGGCCACAATACTTTGTCGCTGGTCAGTATCCGAAGTCTCCATTCTTCCAGACATTTGAGTTTTCCCTCAAGAGGAAATGCAGCAATAAAATCTTTGCTGGACTTGTAGTTGAATTTAACCCGGCATACTTTTTTGCTGGATGAATCTTCAATGTAATTTCTGTCGTTTTCCTCTGTACTCTGTTTGTTTCTTTTCGGTTGAAAAGACGTCGGATTGTCGATTGCAGAATCAAAGATGGCTCCTTCGATTAACCCACCAAATGTTTGACCCATCGCAGTACTTGACTCGTCGTTTGGTTCTGTTTCAGCAAGAATACTAAGAAGGTTGGTAAGAAGTGATTTCATACTGGGAGATAAATCACTTGAGTCCATTACTGATTGGAAATAATTATTCGTAGCTCTCATGTCTGTGTCCTGTTTTCTCATGTTTATATTATCGGCATCTTCACCAACCAACTGAAAACCAACGTAGTGTTCTTTACACATGCCAGGTTTAGCTTCACGGTTGAAGTCAACATCATGAGAATGTTTACCCTTAGAATCAAATGGCATTGTAAAGACCTGGAATAGCCCCCGCATTATTTTAAATGCCTCTCTGTCGACTTCTTTTAGAATACGGCTGTGCAGGTATTTCCCGTCTACCAAATTGTGAGAAAATGAATGTTGAATTTTGTCACCTCTGATGTGGACAAAACAAGGAAGGTCCTCTCTGTGTTCCAAAGCGTCTGTGGGTATAGATACCCCTGAAATGATCAGATAATCAAAGTCTCCTTCGTTCATATTTGACCGCAGTCTGGTTCCTTCTGTCGTGCTCCCCGCCACCATGCACCACTCTTTCCCGAAATGAGAGGCAAATTTTGTTATGTATTTGCAGTATCTTAGCTGTCGTGCATCGTTCGGCACTTTTTTGCATTGGTCCTCTAACATTTTGTAGAAGTACTGCAGCTTTCTCTGGAGATACCGATAAGCACTCTGCATATTACTCTATAAAATATAAACAGGATATCTTATAGTTAGAAAATATAACATGTATATGAAAATTGATCGTAACCTTGAATTTAAAATAAACCTGATACAGGTTCTTTAAAGACCTTATAAGAAAGTGTTTGAGTTCGTCCAAGTGAAAAACATATGATTTAAGACAATAATGATTTAAATATATTACATAGTTGGTTCACTTCCCAAGAGCGTGTTACCATTTCGCTCACATCCTCCATTTATCACAATCATTGTCCAATAAACTACTCAGGCAAGTTAATATTCATTTCAGATTAATATATGATTCATTGATTGATTGTTGGTGCTGAATGCCACTTTCAGCACTCTTGGCTATAACGAGATGGCCAGTTTGTATTTGTAGTAGAAGCCGGAGTGCCCGGAAATAACCACCGCCCTTCAGCAGGAAAACTATTAACCTTAAGATCGAAGTCTAAGGCACCAGCCAAGAGAGAGGTTCGAACTTCTAACCTAAGTGTTGGCATACTAGTGAATTCTGTAGATAAACTAAGACCCGTCAGACTAATATACCAATTAAAGGATTTAAGGGCTAACGTCAATGTGATAACAACCCAACGAACTAAACACTCTAGAGGTAAACAATTTATATGTTAAGCTCTAAGTTTCCCCAAGTCTAGAGATTTCGGTAATAAGTGAAATGCTAAAATAAGTTGTCTGATCATTATTAGACACCCCCCTCCCTTATCCTTTAGCTCGACCAGTGTTATAAAAAGGGTATACAGAAAAACTGCAAATTAAAATCAGTCTAGAAAAAACTCTCAACTATATAATATCGGTATATCAGACAGTAATTTCAGTGTTGGAAATAAAACAATACAAAATAAACGGAGAATGTGTCTATGGGAGACAAATGATACCCCCGCTTGCATATAACGTTATAAAAGGACATAACTAGAGAACTGTAAAAGTGATGCCACCCAAATTCGACTTGATCTGTGATGTATGGTAATAAGCATTGTGTATAAGTTTCATAACATTTGGTTGAGGCAAACTAAAGTTAGAAAACGGAAACCAATTTGGAACGTACGTACGGACATACAGATGGACATGGGTAACACTTAATGCCCCCTTCGCCTAGCGACAGTAGCATAAAAATCATTCTATATCTTTGATGAATTATGCAAATTTTAGATAGGAATATATTTCATTTTCAAACATTCATTTAAATGAAGAAAATTATATGAGTTATCTAATTAATAGACTGTTTGTAAAACTACAAAGTATTTTTTGTTCAATAATTTTTTTTTAATTATCAGGGGAGATAACTTAGATAATTAAGATAAGTTGGAATATCTTACCTCAGTATCATTACTGTTGATCATTATCTGTTCCATGATGGCATGTGCAACTTCTCTATCTAAAATAACAAGTAGTTAAATATAATTTGTTAAATTTAATGAAATTTGAAATTGAAATACGGGTTCTTTGCATCACCTAGATGTAACTGAGTTAGAAGTAAACAAAAAAGTAAATTGGGAATGTGTCCATAGGACACAGATGATGCCCCCGCTTGCATATAACGTTATAAAGAGACATTACTCAAGAACGGTAAAAGTGACGCTACCCAAATTCGTACTTAATCTGAGTTTTGTGGTAATAAGCATTGTGCATAAGTTTCATAACATTTAGTTAAGGCAAACTAAAGTAAGAGAACGGAAACCAATTTCGGGACGTACGGACGTACGGACGGACGGACGTACAGACTGACAAGAGTAAAACTTAATGCCCCTCCGCTACGGCGGGGGCATAAACATATCGTCTCAAAGAATGTCCATGGTATCTTAAAACAATCTCGAAGTACCTGTTGAAATCATGCCGTCCTATCACGTGGTCGTAAAAGTTTTGTGATCGATATAAACTTGCTTATTATAATGTAAGGGTATCCAAGGCAACATTCTGCATCTATTTGCAATAAAATATTGAAAAAGGGGCATGCAAATATTATTATGTTTCAAAAATTCGGTCCAAAGCAGAATTCCAACCCTCTCTGATAACTTTCATGAAATCATTAACATGATTGCATCTATTAAGACATCGAATATAAATCAGGTGTTTTTCAACTAATTTTTCATAAAATTGCAGCAAAAAGTTTGTGTGAAAATTAGAATAACAAAAATACCGAACTCCAAGGAAAATTAAAAACGGAAAATCCTTACCAAAACGCACAATCAAAAGCTCAAACACATTAAACGAATGGAAAACAACTGTCATATTCCTGATTTGGTACAGGCATTTCCTTATGTAGAAAATGGTGGATTAAACCTGGTTTTATAGCTAGCTAAACTTCTAATTTGTATGACAGTCGCGTAAAAATTCTTTATATTGACAACAATGTGTGAACAAACCAAACAGACATAACAGGTGAAAATGTCAAAAATAGGGGTACAGCAGTCAACATTGTGTTATAATCTTAATCACTATACAAACAAACAATTGTATCAACAAAGAAAACCAAAATGGCATATAGACAAAGCACATAAGCAAAAATGAAAGACAAGAATACAAAAACTGACCATACTACAATAACACAATGAAGGGATGTATAAGTACCGAACCACGACAAAGGGATATTACCAAAAATGGACTAACAGTAAAGGTAATAATTTACAAAGACAAATAAAAGAACACTATAACATGTATAACATGTAATTAATATGATAAACAACGTCAGTACCTAAAATCTATACTTCAATGTCAGTAAACATAGCAATGCCTTCTGGACCCATGTCCGGTAAGGATATGAAAATACGGACTGCCTAACAGAAAATAGCTCATTAACCATGCATGAATTCATAAAACAATCTTTATGTTTATATAAACCCTTATTATTAAGTGTGAAGGCTATATTATTCTTCAGCTATCTAAAAAAGAACTTTATTGAACATTAACTTTCATATTCACCGGAGCCAAAATGTGAAACCAAACTCCTAACTGGGTATTGCTACCTTATATCTTCTGTGTTTTCACTCTTACTGCGCTTCGGACGAACGAAATTTCAAAAATTTTATTATTATTAACCGAGTCGAAATTTTACCACAAAGGGAAAACGAAGAGTGTAGCATGAAAAACATGTTGTTACCCTTCAAAAGAACCTCGGCTTCAGTGGAAGTTTGTACTCCCTAAAGCTGCAGTTTTTAATTAGATCACTACTAGTTTCTATCTTTTCCTTATATGTCAATACACTATCTTGTTCATTGTTCTTCGTTAGTATACTATCTTGTTATTTTTTCTTCGTCAGTACGCATATCCTGTAACTTTTAATTGCATCGTTCGCTATTTCGTAATGAATTTAATGTTTGGTTCCACATTTATCATCGGACCCCGGAACGGTGAACACTTGTATATAGACCTTATTGCTATTTGGGAATCTGATCACTTGACCAGAGAATCTGCGACACTTGAACTTAAGGCTGTGGACAGTATTTTGATTCTATGTTCCATTCAGAACACATCGTACTCAAAACTGCAAACGGGAGGAAAAGGTCAAAACATGTGGACAGAGATGTTCGGTGAAAAGCTGAATAAACTATTGGTCACTGAAATATTTTATAATAAATGACAGCTGTATTCCCGTTCAATTCGATATATTTCAATCATGAATTCAAACGTAAAATAAGCCGTAAAATCCCGAAGTCAGAGAAGATTTTGCTTTTAGTATTGCGTCTTTGAAATTTGACAAAGAACATCACGCCTTAAGGTGTTTTGATAGAAAAATACCTACGTGAACTGATTAAAGATTGTACAAATTAATAACAACAGTCAAACAGTGGAGGACTGAAAACTGATCCATGTGGAATTCAGATGTAGTGTATAATCTCTCAGGGATTCAACGTAAACCAAAGCGAGTAAAAAAAGTCATTCCTATTAATGAAATTGTTTCAGACGCCGACATCGGCACACACATTTACATCTACGCAACTAACAATTTCGGCATGTCAACCCCTCCTTAAAATCTACTTTGTTTCCGATTTGATCCTTTATTTGAAGAATTTGGAGTTGATGGCAGATCTTTATAATTTTGTAAAAATACAAATAGTCTATTCTCGAGACGACTCCTGTATATTGTCGGAAGACGTGTATTGTCCTCTAGATGCCTTGTTGGTAGTAGTGTCTTAGGGTTGCTGTCTCTTTAATGTATACCCCACCTTTTTTTTCATGTATATCTATAGATCAACATATGGTATGCAACAAAAGACAAGAGTCTTTACCCGCATATCAAGTGCTAAATAGCGTATAGCTTGTTTCCATGCATTTTATACAGTAACAGATTGACTTAAAACATTTTAGCTCAACCTCTTACTTTTTAAGCCTGAAATACTAGTTCATGTACGTCTGAAAAGATGATTCTATTTACGATATGAAATGAATGAACTGTAGTTGATACAAGGTCATGCAATCTCTCGGGGGGGGGGGGGGGGGGGGAGGGGGGGTGGGGGGGTTACTTTGTAACTGTGGGTAGAGATGAGTTGCTGGAATAGGCATTATTCTAAGATTCATGGTATATGATAAGGTCCAGAAATCAAAATGAAATATATGAAAAGGTTGCACATCATAAGTATCTGAAACTAGTCAGACGTCGATTTGTTTTTCAGACAAAAATGCGACTAAAACCTCAGTGGAAATGCATCAGATGTTTATCGAATATAATTACCTCTTCATGAAATAGCGGAATTATGATAGGTATTTTTTGTTAATAAATATATATGAAAGGATATATAGGTTTGTTATTCAAAATATTAAAAGGGTGCATGGTTTATTGGATGTCTCAGCTGCTCACCCCTACCAAAAAAAGGATTGAAGTGCCCACCGGGAATTTTTTTAATTTGTTTAAAGGATTTGAACTCTGAAATCGAGGTCAAAAGGAGCTCGTTATATGCACATATGAGATCAAAGTCTAGTGTTAATGACTGGCTATCATGGCCTTACCATGATTAAACTCCATAAAAAGCTTGGTCAATCTCATGCACAGAGCTCATATCCCCGTTCCTTAAGTGCTCCGCAATACTCTCCATTCTGTGTAGTGTTACGTAGCAGAGAACGGAACGGATATGAAGTCTGCGTCGCAGAATGAGTTCTTGTATCCTCAGTAAAAGTGAAGTATTGATGTATTTGCCAACTTGGTAACAACCTCGCCACCAGAAGTCTCGCTTACCGCCAAACAGACATTTTTAGGAACTCAAATTAAACATTACGAATTTTATTATAATTTTAGGTCCAGTGTTATAAATATGTACATGCGCAGATAAAACTATGTTTGTCGTGGAATTTTCTAAAAGCTGTGCATTATAGAACTCATTATTTTTTTTGCCATCATGAATATACTGACACCTACATGAGAGGCGAAAGATACCAAAGGGATATTCAAACTGATAAGTCGAAGACATACTGACATCACCATGGCATAAAAAAAACGACCAAACGACAATCAACAGTTTACAAACACAACAATGAAAACTTAAAGACTTAGCAACACGAACCCCATTAAAAACCAGGGGTGTTCTCAGGCGCCACGGAAGGGTAAGCAGATCCTGCTACACATGCAGACTAGTTGTTCTTGAAATTAATTCACGCGCTCATTGAACCAATAACGTATAGGACATTTTATTTTAATGAGACAAGAGTTCTATTAAAACCTTAAAAACCGTTGAACTGAGATTGTGTATTCGGATAGCAGAAAAATGGTAAACGTTAGTGTCAATAAGGAGTGAAATTGGGGATCCACAAAATAAAAATTCGTATCATAGATGTATGTGAAGGATTATCAAAGAATCAAAGGGGCCTCAGTGGCCGAGTTGCCACAGTAGTTCATAGTAGTTTATTGATATCACCATTGATCACAGCAGAATTTTTTTACCCAAAGTCAGACAACTATACTATATAACATGATAAACATTCAATTCATAATAGTGTAGTCTTGTATAATATATTTGCCAACGAGACAACTTGTTGATAAATATTCCGTATCAACATCACAAAAAATACATGATGGGCTTGAAGTATAGATTTTAGGTACTGATGTTGTTTATCATCTTAAGTACGTGTTATAGTGTTCTTTTTATTTGTCTTAGTATATTTTTAACCGTTACTGTTTAGTCCATTTTTGGTAATATCCCTCTGGCGTGGTTCGGTATTTATACATCCCGCTATTGTGTTATTGTGCTGCGGTAATTTTTTGTGTACTTGTCTTTCATGTTTGCTCATGTGCTTCGTCTACAGAGTGTCTATATGCCATTTTGTTTTTCTTTGTTGACACAGTTGTTTGTTTTTATAGTGATTAAGATTATAACACAATGTTGACTGCTGTACCTTTATTTGTGACATTTTTACCTATTATAAAATTGAGAATGGAAATGGGGAATGTGTCAAAGAGACAACAGCCCGACCATAGAGCAGACAACAGCCGAAGGCCACCAATGGGTCTGTTTGTTTACATAAGGAAATGCCTGCACCAAGTCAGGAATATGACTGTTGTTTTCCATTCTTGTTTGAGCTTTTGATTTTGCCATTTGATAAAGGGCTTTCCGTTTTGAATTTTCTTTGGAGTTCGGTATTTTGTTATTTTACTTTTCATCTACAGCGATCACTAGCCTGTCATTACTGAGGTTGTGAGTTCGAACACCTTTGATGACAGTTGCTTTCGATTCCGATTTTAGTTTATTGGGGTTGTCAGTTTGGCGAAGGTCGGTGGTTCTATCCTAGCATTCCGGCTTCCTCCACCAAACAAAAGTGACCTAGGCAAAAGTGCTTAAAGTGGCATTAAACACAAATGATCGCTCAATCAATCAATTAATCAAAAATATAAGAAATGGTTTGATGATATTTATATTTCTATTATTTCATGATGGGGTAAGGGAGACAAATCGAGCATTCATTCAAAACAAAACTGACATTCCAGTTTTCAAAACTGAAAACAAATTGAAACACTAAATTTTAAACAGAATGGTTTTAGATGGTCCTAATAGCAAATCAGTTTACTTTTGGGAAAGATGCAGCAAATACAAACATTCTTGTTCCTATCCATACTTACTTAACGCGTTCTCGTTTTGTGTTTTTGAGAACTTATATTGATAAATTAATTGTATATACATGTAGTCTTAAAATAACATATTACGTTGTCTGAGAAATGTCTCAGAAAATATCAAAATATCATAATTTTGTGGTCTCGTTTGCTATTTGTCCATTTTAAAGAAAGAAGCACAAATCTAAAACGAAAGTACACGTTGGACGTGTTACTACTGGATCCAATAAAATTCCCAATCTTATAATGTTTAAAAAACTGAAAGATATATCTAAGTTTATCCTAGCGTCGAAAAATATGTTTATATTTATTGAACTGGAAGTTATGTAAAGGCACGTGTGTAAAGATGAAAATCTCGTTTAGTAAATCAGCTCATTAATTTGCTTGTATGAATCCGTAAATCATTTATCATTTGTTGGCGGACATGGGTTTTTTTTTTTCCGGTTCATCTTTAATAAAACAAAATTTTTATTGTTTTAAATTATGTACAGGAACAAGAATTTTGTTTTGATACTCAATGTTGTATTTACTTTTTTCTCTTAATTTTCAATGGAAATACTATTGTTTCACTTTTCTTCTGAAAAAAAAAATTTGTTTAAAGTAATCTAGAATCACACAATTTACACAAAAAGAAAAAAAACATACCCACAAAAGATGAATGGTCGGTGCCTTTATAAAATTACAGTCTAAGATGATCCCCTCTTTTTCAACTCAATATAATCAGTCCCGAATGCAAAGGTGCGATTATCTATGATATTACGATACTCCTTGACAAAGCGATAGGTATTGGGAAAACCACTTTACAAGTCACTGCAGTTAACACATTATACCTGTACTGAATATGATCTATTTTTAGCATTTAAACTGCTAATGACTACGTAGTAAATAACAAGTAGAGGTTACAAAAAGGGTTTAAGAATATGATTTCAGAAGACAATACAAAATTATTATGTAATCGCAATGTTTTACCACAATGAGCACATGAACAAATACGAACGATAATAAAAATGGTTTCCAATCGAACTCCTACACTTTTCTAATTGGTTAAAATAGACGATTCAAACAAACACTTGAAACGAAATTAACATTCCAGTTTTCAATATCACAAATTGAAGTTGTAATGCTTGAAAAAAAAAAACGTTTGAGCTAGTAGCTTCAATAGCAAAAGCAGTTTACTTTCGATACTTACTCAATTACTGGTCTCTTTTTTTGATTTCATGAAATTTTTCGCTCGTATGTTTTAAGGACACTTCTGTTGTCACTTTCATTGTACTCAAAGGATATTAAAATATTTGATTAATGTTATCCCTTTGGCTTTATTTTTCTAGTAAAGAAACACTGTTCAAAAACGAAAGTCCACGTAGAATATGCAACTATCTGATCGATATTCTATCTTTTAATTTTTAAATAAAATTTCGAAACTTATATGTATGTATCCTAGTGCCGAAAACATGTGTATTTGTAGATTTAATTTAGAAATATGTTAAAATGAAACTCGATATTCATCCTTTACATTAATTGAAGGAATTCGTAATAGAATAACGATTTTAAATAATCAGCTCTTTTCTAAAGCAATATAGTTCCAAAGCCACAGGTGAGATTTACAAAAAAAAACATTATTTGATATTTTGAACAAATATAAATTTTTGTACTTACCAATAACCTTGACAATCGTTATTAATATTTTCAAATCGAAAGTTGCTCAGCAAGACGCATTACATCTTAAAAGCAATAGTTACTGGGAAATCCACATTAGTAATTTAGATCATTGCATGGGATATATGTTTGGATATTATATTGTATGATACATATTGATTTATATGCTCTAAATGGTAATTTGATAATAAAAACAAATTAATTTGAGATGTATATTCAATCATGTAGACAATGATCCATTTTTAGTGTTTTAATGTAAAAATGGGGTTATTAATGATAAATAGTAGAGAATGGGGTTATTTATAATAAATAGTAGAGAACATATAGAGGGTTACGCAATGTTATAAAAATCGGATTCCAATCAAAAGGGCAATTGAAAATTAGGGCACCTAGGTAGCTTGGTACCTGTGGAATTAAACTGTATGAGAATATTCATTTGGCCTAATATTGTTTTTGAGGCGGTTTACGGTTTTAAAATATAGAATTTCTATTAATTTATTGGATTATAAATGGTTGTGCTTTGTCAATGAAATGTGATAGTCAGCAAACGAAACTATCTATTGTTTTAAAATGAAACTGTTGATTATAACAGACACTAAAAATGATGATTTGTGTGTATAAACTTGAAATCTGCACAAATTTCTCCCTGTCCTCACAATTCTTTTCCTCATTTTCCTATCTTCAAAATCTTATAAGATTTCTGCAGTGACAATGCAATAACAATCAATAATTCATTTGTATTGAGTGTTGTAGCAGTGCAATTTAAAACAAAACTACAAAAATCTCTCCATATTGTATTCTATATGTTCAATAATTTTGATATATTTTACATGATAAATTAAAATAAGAATTGATATCAATGTCTTAAATGATATATCTCTTCGTTGTAGAAACTAAATTTCAGTTTTTGTTACTGGGATATAGAAATATTGTCACTTTTGGTCTTCTTCTGACCGACAGCAAAATCCTTGCCAAAGAGTGGTGTCCATTTGGTTGTGTGGAATGTCAAACTTTGTAGTCAAGTGCGTCGAAATGGGGACGTAATACCTGATGGCGTATGTCGATAGAGTACCAAGCTCTTCATTCGTTATAGAACCCTCGCAGCAACTCCGATGGGTACGTTTGTGGCCTGTTGCGAGACAAAATGTATGCCCCTTTCCAACGTTTCTTCATTTTCTAGTGACATTTCAAATTTCCCGCCCTTTGTCGCGGTCAACCCCTGTTACAGGACCTGCTAATTGTATTCATTGTAACTTTTTTTTATTTTCCTGAAATATTTGACAATGGACGGTAAGCAAACACAATCAAGCACTTATTTTTTGTTTGTTTAAATCACTTTTTATTTGATATGTTTAGTCTGAAGTTATATTTGCTGATACATCTCATGTATATAAGAAATCGTTGAATGACCAAGGAGAAGCGAAATGAAACTGTCTGCTTCAGTCTCAACTATTGTTACCCATTGCGCCTTAAGCTCTTCTTTTGAAAGTTCATATCATGTAATCTGATCTTCATCAGCAGCGGTTGGAATTTGTGTGCACGCTTAAAAGTCATCAACCTGATGAGATACATATGGTTTCAATATTGAAGCAAAATAACATGTCCAGAGTATTTATATACAGATTTTATTGCTATTTTAATTATTATTTTCTATCATAAATTGATTTTAATTAAAAATTGATCTGTTCAGATTTGTTCTCGAAACAAACATTTCAGTATTTTAATTGATTAATTTCTGGGTATGATAATCGTACTCAAAAATTGTATGAATGTAAGGCCAGTAATGAACGATACCTTTTTACTGAACATATTGTTCATGTTTCGTTCATTCATTGATGGCTTTCGAATGTTATTTGTAACTGGGTAATAAGACACTGATAATAACTAGAGGCTCTAAAGAGTCTGTGTCGCTCATCATGGTCTAAGTGCATATTCAACAAGGACACTCTCCAACACTGTAGACGAGAATAGAACTCATGACAAAAATCTCTGTTTTGTTGATCTTGTATTGCTGATCATTTAGTCTGTTTAGTTTCTCTCTATCTTCTTAAGGGCAATCACTCCTTTAAAGAGTGACAGTCTACTAACTATATCGGCAAAATTTGATTTGTTAGTAGATCTTGACTTGCTGATCATTTTTGTGATTTAAAGTGTCTATTTATCTATTTTAATTTTTATCATATAAGGCAAAACGCAAACAAATGGTGAAAATCATCATTAAATGGCAATAACTCCAATCGGACAATTTCCTCCGTTTTTCTTAATTGTAGATCTTGTCTTGCCGATCATTTTTGCTTATTTAAGTTTCTATCTATCTATTATGATTTTTAAGATATAAGGCAAAAATACAAAAAATTGGTAAACATCGTCATCAAAGGGCAATAGCTCTAATAAGGAGTCGACTGACTTAGTTGTAGAACTTGTCTTGCTGATCATTTTTGCATTTTAAAGTTTCTCTCTATTCATTATAGTTTTCAAGATAATAGGCAAAAATGAAAAAAGGTAAAATTTGTCATTTAAGGGCAAGAACTCCAATTAGAAGTTGTCTGACAGTTTTGACGTATATAGACAATTGGTGGAGCTCAATATTCTGAACATTCCTGCTCCTGTCAGATTTTCTCTATTATAACGGTTTTCAAAATAATAGACATAACTTGCATTTAACTTGCATATTTTGTTTTTAGCCATGTCGGCCATCTTCGTTGGCAGGCGGGGTCATCGGACACATTTTTGAAACTAGATAACCCAATGATGCTTGTGGCCAAGTTTGGTTGAATTTGGCTCAGTTGTTTCAGAGGAGAAGATTTTTGTAAATGTTAACAGACGACGACAGACGACGAAGAACGACGGACGCCAAGTGATGAGAAAAGATCACTTGGATCTCTGTGCCAGGTAAGCTAAAAAATTAATAAATATAAGTAAACTGTATTTCACTACATGTTATTTAGTTGCAAAATTGACATATCAAGTCAGCTAAATATAAATGAAATATCACCAAATGTTGATAATAAATTACATTTTAAAAAGGGTGATGTAATTAAGATATGCTAATATAATATATTGTATATACCGGTATAGAAATTGGAAATAAAATACAAAAATGTCAATATGCAAAAAAAGGCTATCAATAAATAGGTAAATAGTACATGTTATTCATTTGTGAAAATGACACGTACTAAATATACAATGAAATATTTCAAAATGTTTATAGTAAATAACAATTGTAAAAAGCATGATAAAAAAGATAAATATAAAATAAGTTATATACCGGTATAGGAATTAACGTAAACAACAAATAATTTCCAAAATATACACAAAGCTACCAAAACGGAAAAAGAAAAAAGTTTAATATCAATGAATAGGTTTATCAAGGTATCATTTGTAAAACTGATACATTTAGCGAACTGAGTATAAAACGAAATATCTCAAAATGTATAAAGTGAATAACAATTGTTAAACTCATAATATAATTTAAAAAGATGACTGTAAAATAAAATAATATACTTTTAAAGAAATTGAAAATTAACTTAAATATGTCTTAACTATAATATCACAGTCCATTATTCAATATGAGTACCTAAGTGTTTTGATTTCTTAATTAGATAAAAATAAACTTTTTTCCAAATTCATTATAATGTCACTCAGTTCGTTAGTACATTGCAAAAAAAAACAAAAATAAATTGTATTTAAATTCACAAAATAATATAAAAAAAATTCAAAGAAACACACTTAACAAAACCAAAGGAAAAACAGTGCTTTTATTTCTGTTCTTCATTACCAAATCAAAGTCGTCCAGAATGAAAATCATAACAGGCTATATATCTGACCTTCTTGTACACCCAATAAAACTTCAAAAAGAAAACGAAAATAAAAAATTCCCTACACTCACTTAAAATCAAAAACAAAAGAAAAGCGCCTTTAGTGCCGTGCTTCATCTCAGAGACAATACTTAGCACATTAAAAACGAAAGGATAGAACTGTAGAAAACACATTACCTCTGAGGTCTTCTAGTGCTTTTTTCTTTTCATCTCGTGTGGAAAAGTCTGTTGTCAAATAACTGGCACCTTGTCCCAAGAGGTTCCACTGCTTCTGTGTAGTATTTGGTCTTACTAAAGGAATATTTGTCTCCTCCTCCAATACCATATATAACGTGTCCATAATAGCTTGTGTGAGCTTAGAACT